TATACAGCATGATATGAATGACATAAAATCACGATAAATGACATTCAATATAACCCCGTTAGAATTATGTATGATATGAGAAATGAAAAATGAGAAATGATATGATATGAATGAAAAACGGTAGCGGGGTTATATTTAATAATGTTGAAAACGGAAAAATATTGGGACCTCATGCATTATGTGTGCTCATGCATTTGGGGATACCCTTATTCCATCACAATTGCTTGTACGGACGCGTACACCACTAGGCAGGTGAAGTATCATTATGTTTTACATAATGTTGCCATTACGGTTACTAATTCTAATGGGAGTCTGGCATGAGGAGCTACTAGAGCAGGCTCGCCCAACAAGAAAAGGGGCCCAGTGGTGTGCGAACTGTCTGGTGAGTTCATACTTGCACGTCTGGGCTATGTGTAGCGTATATGATACACATCAAAGATACCCATTAGGAGAGTGTCATAGAAAAAGGAAAAGAGACTGATACGATAGGTCCCGTCATTGCATTCGCATGTTCTTGCATTTAACCACCAATAGTGGGTTCACTTACTGAGTATTTCTTAAAATACTAAAACCACGTGCTAGCTCCATTTCAGGTTAAGACAAAATATTCCTTTACGGCTGACGAAATTTTGACACTCAAAATTCCACTCAAATTTGTGGGATTATGTGGCAAACATGTAAGTTTGGTTAAACCATATATTGACACTCAATATTCCACTAACTCAAACATGAATTTTTCCATTAGGTGGAGACAACCTTTGGACTTTCTCCATTTTAATTCAACCATTAATTTAAATAATTAATTTCAAATTAAAAAAATATTAAATGATTAATTAAACAATTTAATAATATTTAACATTAATTCAAATGTCAATCTCAATCAATTCCAACACACCTTGATTATAAATCCCTCTTCATAATTAAAATATTTAAATCTTATTTAAATATCTCTAATTCTCTCTTTTTGTTTAATTCGTAATTAAAACAAAATGTGGTTAAATATATCGTATATATGTAATGCATACTCCCTAATTTGAATTCGAACACTTCGAACTCACTCGTCACGCTGTTCTAAGGTTTAGTCCAATATGAGCTAGCAGAGGGACCTAATGGACCTATAGATCTTTGGCTTCAACAATTCGAGATTAACCGGCTAAACTCATTAACCTTGTTAACCAACATTCATTAACTACTAGGACACTCCACTATAGCCTAGTAGTTGCTCTCCCCTCACTATAGTTATATTTTTGTCCATTTGATATAACTATGATTAGTAAGTCGATCCTTCACAGGTTGTTCGTAACTAGAGATGGGTCAATTTACCGTTTTTCCCCTAAAGTTACTTCTTGTTCCTTAAGTCTCACTGATCCTCTAATGAACAATTGGTTTGTGGTCCAACCACCAAACTGAATCCCTCTCAGGCCAATGAGAGTGTGGGCCCCTTGTTCAAGCCCTGGAGTCAGTACTTAATGGAACAATTTCTCTACTATCCCTAAAAGTGGGTAGAGTGAATTCTATCTTGCCCCCTATGTCTCCAGCTATGCACCCAGTCTTACCCTTGAAATGGGAGGCTTAATGAGTCGGCAAACTTTGACCACTCTCACCCATGCAAATCTAAGGATAATTCTAAATAAACAGTAGTTCATAGTTAGCTCAGGATTAAGGTCGAGTTACCTAGGTCATCGAGTGAAAAAATCAGTCTCAACAGTAAACGACATTATAAAGTGAGAGTGATTATCTTCATGGTCCGATCTTATGCAATACTCATTGCATAGGATGCCCCCACTCAGCCTTATCCTTGTACTATAGATCATTTTGCCTATATACTTGAACTTGATCCACTCTTATGTCTCTACATATAGTTCAAGTAATCATACTATAGCCAGAGTATTCTTAGTTTATTGGATTTAGATTAATGATCGTAAAATTCACTTTATTCAATAACAGTCTTTATTGAATAAACATCAATAGTAACTTTATTGAAAATAAAATATGTTTTTGTTTACAAACTATTGGTTTTAGGACATAAAACCCAACAAACGTGATGACGTTAGATGATGATGCGTTGATGTTGTATGATGATGTATTGATTTTGTATGATGTCTTGATGATGTTAGATAATGATGCGATGATGTTATATGATGATGTGTTGATGTTATATGATGATGTGATAATGTCATGTGATGACGTGATGACATTATATGAAAATGTCATGATGTTATATGATGACTTGATGACGTTAGATAATGATAAGCGCCTACAATGCTGGAATTTGCAAAGCTAGAGGTCTTTCTAGAATCCTTGCAAAACGTTCACAGAGAAAGCTAACTTAACAGATTGATTCCAACCAATAGTTGGTTAGAAGATGAATGACTCTTAGATCGAACTTGGAATCTATTATGGTCACTCTTAGATACCAAGACAATTCACTCCAGAATTAGCTTGATCAAAACTAATTCAATGAATCGGTTTAAACATCAAACCTAAAGCAAGGTTTGAAAAAGAATAACACCAAAAGGGTATCAGGAAAACACAAAAGTTTTGTCTGTATTCAACAATTCATACTCAAACATGAATATTACATGCCTTTAAATAGGCCCAAAAGATAACCCTAACATAATAAAGTTCAACCACCAACTACAAATGCTATTAAATACAAATCGAAGAAAATAAAGCATTCATAAAAACTACTAATAAATGCTATTAAATACAAATTGAAGAAAATAAGATATTCATAAATTGTCTTAATGGGTAGTTCAACTACCGAAGGAAAGTTTCTAATCACTTTCTAATGTCAGCCACTCCATTATTTTCTTGATTTGATACTTGAATCTTCTTTGTATTACTTCTTGTAATTGCTCGTTCAGGTACATGGAAGTGATCAATTGTTGGATTCATATCAGATAATGATGTGATTATGTTATATGATGATGTTATGATGTACATGATGTTGACATGATGTTGATGATGCATAATAATAAAATGATGCGACACGTATAATAATGAAATGACTTAATATGACGATGTTCTATATTAAGATTGTGTGCATGTATTAAATGTCACGATGCATTATGACGAATTTTTTTTAAAGACACAACCATGGTTAAAAGCGAATGATGATGAATGTATGAAGGTCAATGCTTGCATGTTACTCAGAGTAATGTGTGAACGGTGTATTTTGTGTGTTCATATTTATTGGGATACTTCCCCAGTGATGATGATGAGTGCGAACGCACATAATATGATGATGAGGGTGTTCATGGGGAGCATGACACTATGGGGTTTTGCTAACATCCGAACTCGCTACAAATTAACTTGACCAAAGAGGGTCCAAGGGGTGTGCGAGCCCCCTGAGGATTCACACTCGCACATGTGAGTCGTGTGTAGGGAAATACTACACATTCAATTTGTCCGAGACTGGAGGCCACCCCTATGATGGTTTTTAAATGATAGGTTCCTAAATCATGAGTTGCATGTGTTTGCTTTCCCTGATCCCAATAGTGGGTCACTTATCGAGACTAAAGGCAATGTGCTACTTCTTTTCAGGTAAAGGCAAGGTGTCCCTGTAGGGCTGATGATGGCATCGCAACTTGAGAACATGACAGTAACGACCCTAAATTTTCACATGCTTAGAGTCGTTACTAACGTCTCATGCTCATCTATAATGCGGAAATATAATTCTTACATGAACATCATTTATAACGTAAACTTCGAAAAATGCTTAAAACAACTTTTTCTCTAGAAAACAAATTCATGGTCTTACGTGTTTAAATACAATATGCATGAGGTCCCTCTAAATCCATCATAATGTCTCTTCTAACACAACCCTCTAGTCTCATCTCTTTGTTACTCTAGGTAACACATACTCGTGGATATTTATATTAATATCATTTTCATGCTCTTAGTATTGTGTCCTATGTCGATCTAACGACATGATGCAATATGGCACTCATCATCATATAGCATGCTCAATAGGAAAAACATCATCATATTAAGGTAAACGTCACACAATCATCATACTCATCATATTGTCATAAAGTGCATCAAGCATATCAAGTATGTCATTCGTCAAAATATATATATACTACGCACATCATCATACACTCGTACATCATCATATACTAGTATACGACATCATACAATACAACTTATACATCATCACATACTATCATACGATATCGTACGACACAGTTCATACATCATCATAATTCATACAATTTTTAGCTTATCCTATAGTAAGATCACTTACCTTATTAGCTTAAGTTGTTGTCACGAATTTATCCTTAGTGAAAGTTTGATTCTGTCCTTTGAAATTCAAGTCAACCTATGTGAGTTCATAACATCAGTTTCAAGTTCGAACTTCTATAAAATTGTTTCCCTAATTTACATTTGCCCATGTATTAAACATTATGTGAACATTAAAGACTTTGCATGAATAAAGTTTTAAATGTTTATTTATGTTTGTTATAATTTCTCTTTCATGCAATCCATTTAAAAGTCTTTAACATTTACCATATATTCTCTTTACCATATATTTTCTTTCCTCTTACCGTGTGTTTCCTTTTCTTTTTATTAAATGAAATAGATTAGGATTACAGTTAAAAACATTCTATTCTAATCTAATTCTAAGAAAATAAATATAATTACCAAGAAAATAAATATAATTACCATTTGCATGTTTCATAAGAAAATAAATACAACTACCATTTGCATGTTTCATGGTCTCGAACGGCTATGTAGTCATTAGTCATCATTAGTCGTACAGTGCTACATATTAATTTATGTCATATTACTCGATTCAAAACTACAAAATATTTTTTTTTTTATTTACAATTATTATAGGTTACCACTGAAAATGAAAAATATTGTCATTTATTAATAAAAAGTGAAAATAAAAACTCATATAATTATGTTATAATTTTACTTAGGAATATTCCTTGGAATATCATATTTACACTTAAGTCCTTACTTAATAGTCCATCACTAGTAAATCCGCAATCAAGTGAAACTGAATTATTATTCTCCCCGAACAAAGAATTTTCATGCGTTGTTCTTAAGAGCCTCAGCACTGTCTCCGTTTTCCTCTATTTCATCAAAGTAGTCCTCTCGAGCATTTCCAGCCAACATCAAGGCAACCAACCAAAAGAGGGATGAATCAAGGGATAAAAATGCACCACCACCTAGAAGACCAGTCTTAGCGGTCGGGCATGCTGTCTCGAGATTGTGATAAACGTTGCGAGTCAAGTGAATTTGCTCAGTGACTGTATGCCATACGAGCAAAGTTATAGCCAATCCAGTTGTGAACCTACAAACACAGAGGTAGCTTGATTGATAACGTTTCGAAATCACTTTTTAGGTAACAGAGGATGTGATTTGGAAAGAGAAGTTACAGGGAAATGTTGAAGAAAATAGAGAAACTGGTGCTCTTAAACAAAGAGAAGTATCCTGCAATTGAAGAAGCAAGAAGAAACGCAAGTGAAAGATATCCCAAGGCCACAGTTGGGTCCACTGGATACTGACAGACAACAATGCCTTTGCCTGGGATGGGAGTTCCAGATGCAGGCTGCCCATAAGCAAACACAAAAAGAAAGGATAGTGACCATCAATGACGGAGCTTGGAAAGTTATATGATATTGCATGGGTTGGGAGGTTCTCATCTTGCTGTGATTGTTTCAAATTCACAAATATCTACACAATAAGAATCAAACAATTTATGAACAGAAGCTTACCTTCTTGTTCTCAGCTACGACTCCAAATATAAAGGATATCACACCTAAAGTTGCGACAATAAGAGACATTATTTTGACCGACATGACTATTGATCCCAAGATAAATGGAACAAAAGAGTTTTTCAGAAAAATGGACAACAACAGAACCGAAAGATTATAGAATGAGATTAGTGAATGCTTGATATTTATAGTACTCACTATCGTCAAATGCATGTAGTGGAATCTACCTAATCTTGAAACCCGTAATTAAAATATGGAATTAAACCGTTTTTCGTTTATTTGGTTTTTTTTTCCTTTAATTAGAAATTATGTCGTTTTTTGAAATGCACATGGAAAATGATTCATTGAGAAATATCTGGGGCCAGCTGGCATTGGTTTTATCTGGGGTTAATTTTTAACCATATTAATGAATGGCAGCCCCAAACAAACAATGAAGAATTTGACGCAGGTTCGTGTTCAAAATTATGTGTGAATAACTTAATCAATCTAACCTTTATGATTTTAGTTTTTTATTTTTGAGCATATGTACGAGAATAACATAAAACAAACCACTAAATGAAAGGGAACAAGGTCGAGGGTGATTTCCATGCCAAATCATCATAGGTCTATGTCTTCAAGCGTAAGTAACAAGCTCATGTCGACTAGATTAATGTGTTTGACCGTAATGATCCCACGAGAAAGGCACGGGTCGAAAAAAAACGAACAACAAAACGCACCGATTGATGCATGTGGGAGTGTTCAAAATTACTTGTGAACCACCGGATGAATCCAACCCAATTATTATAATTTGAGTCCTTTTTTTAGCGTGCATAATAGAAAAATATTAAAAAAAAACGAAGTAATGCATAGATGGAAGGTGATAAGATTGTCGAATTGTGGAGGGTGATCCTCGAGCCAAGACATTAATCGTGTATGTTTTTAAGCGTGTGTAGCAAGCTCACGAGCTATCTAGTTGCACTTATGATCAACAAAAAGATGATCTTGATCTCTACTGCATCAGTGTTAGTTGCTGATAGAATTAACAAATATTTGGAGGTTGTTTACTTATCAAAGTATTTTGTGCAAAAGATTCGAGAGGATAGCCCGATATTCTTTAAGAAGTAAGAAATGAATACACACCTTTAATACTTTAGAAATACTTTTGTGAAGAAATACTCTTTTTGACAAGCTTGATACAACTAACTCAATATTTAATTTGATCTAACGTCATCGTACTTTTTCCACTAGGGTCACGAACTGCAACACCAATAACCGCTCCACTATTTCTTATAACTGTATTAAACTTCAATTTGATGGAGAAGGTTTATCGATCAACAACACGAACGACGGAATAATAACGAGCTCCCATTATCAACTTATAAACTATCAAATGTTTGACTCTTAATCCCACTTTTTGATGTAAGATATAAAATTTTTCGATTTGGATAGTCACCTCTAGGTATAATTAGGAAGCAAAAAAACACAATATATATCTAATATTTAAATATCTCAAAAAAAAAAAAAAATGGTGAAGGGTGAACAACCCAAATCCTATCTTCTTTTCTTTTTATATATATATATATATATATACACACACTTTTAAGTTAGGTAGGTTTGACTATAAACCCGAAGTTATACATATGGATATAAATGATGAAAAACTCTTAAATATGACATTTATGCAAATTTTACCCTTTCACTCTAAGTATTATGGCTAGCAACATGATGCCATTTTTATGGAGTGGCAGGTACGGGTTGAGTTGAAAAAATCTTTTAGACCAATTTAAAATATTAGTAGGTGACTCGAGCAATCAAAATAAAGTTTAAAACTCATGGATTGAGCTGGAATTGTTATTTTTTTTATATAATTATTTTAAAAAAATCATACTTATCCATCATGCTCTAACTAAAATTTATAAAATTTAAATATCAAACATATTAATTATTACTAATTTTTGTTCACTTTATGTTTTATGTTTGGGTGATTTGATTTTGCGTGTTTATCTATTTATTTTTTTTTAGGTAAGTAATATTTTAATGGCTTCTTTATATTTTAGCTAAAAATATGTTTTTTTTTTTTTGTCTAAAATTTTAAAATATTACACTGGTTCCATATTTTATAGTTGAATTTTAAAAGTACATCTATTTATGTCATATTACTCTCTTCAAAACTACCATCTTAGATGAAAACATTATTATAGGTCACCATTACTTTGAAAGAGTTGAGTCACGCCGAAGTTGAAAATGAAAAGTGTTGGCCAAAATAAAAACTCATACAATTAAGTCCTTAATCACAAGTAAATCAATAGTAAAGTGGAAGTGTTAAGAATGAGAAAGAGAGGCGGGATCAAAACTGCGATCTTCAATAATGTTCAAAATGTTTAAATAAGATACAAGCTACCAACTAATACCTACATGTAACCATCAGAAAATTTTAAATAAATAAAGTAAATAATAATTAAAAAAATAATAAATAATGGAACTCTCTCCACCTTCCCCAAATATCTCTTCTCCAACACCTCCTACAACAAAATGAGCTGGAAAAAAAAAAAAAAAACAAACAACAATGGCAGATTTTAGAAAGAAAAATCCAAGAAATCTTTTCTTTTATACAATTATTTTTATACAGTTATTTAGAATCAGATCTCATTTTAATTTAGTATAACAAAATTCAACCCAGAACAAAAAAAAGAAAAAAGAATAACAGGGAGGTCTGGAAAGAATTAAAGAGAGAGGAAAAGAAAAAAATAATAGAGAAGAAAGGAAAGAATTAGAGAGAAATAAAGGAATATATATATTACAAAGTAAATACAAAAAAAAAAAAAGGAAGAGAGAGACCGGGGAGGAGGAAAAATGAAGATTTTTGTGAGCAGAGTTAAAATAAATACCGAAACAATTTAAGAGAGTAAATATACAGAGTAAAGAGATGATGAAATATATTATATATATTCAATATTCATAAAAGTCTCTAATCCTTCCATGAAGTTTAATACATGGACCATTATAAAATTTAGAGAATTGAAATTGAAATTGATGCTATGGTTTATATAGGTTGGCTTGAATACAAAGAACAAAACCGAACTTAATAAATTGGTGATACCAGTCTAAGCTAATCAGGTAAGTGGTCTTACTATCGGCTCAGTTGAAAGACTTGTCTTATGTATGATGACACGTGCCTAGTGGCCCTTGCACGTGTCATTTATGCTTTATGTTATGTGATGATGTGATGACGTTAGATAGTGATGCGGTGATGTTATATGATGATGTGATGTTGTTATATGATGATGTGATGTTATATGATGATATGATGTTATTATATGATGATGTGATGATGTTATGTGATGACGTGATGACGTTAGATGATAATGTGATGATGTTATATAATGATGTGATAATGTTATATGATGACGTGATGACGTTAAACGACAATGTGATGATGTTATATGATGACTAGATGATATTAGATAATGATGAGATGATGTTATATGAATGACGTACTTGGTATGCTTGATGCACTTTATGGCAATATGATGAGTATGATGATTGCGTGATGTTTACCTTAATATGATGATGTTTTCCATATTGGTCATGCTATATGATGATGAGTGTCATATTGCATCATGTCGTTAGATCGACATAGGGCACAACCCTAAGAGCATGAAAATGATATTAATAAAAATATCCACGAGTATGTGTTACCTAGAGTAACAATGAGATGAGACTAGAGGGTTGTGTCAGAAGAGACGTTATGATGAATTTAGAGGGACTTCCCTTAGAGATGATGAGTGCGGACGCGCACAGTACGATGATGAGTGCGAATGTGCACGAGCGCGAATGCGCACAGATAAGGGTGTTCATGAGGCGCATGACACTGTGGGGTTCTACTGACTTCCGGACGTCGCTACAGATTAGCTTGACCAGAGCGTCCAGGGGGTGTGCGAGCACCCTGGAGATTCACATTCGTACGTGTGAGTCGTGTATAGGGAAGTACTACACATCCAATTTGTCTGAGACTGAAGGTCACCCTTATGATGATTAGAAATAGGTCCCTAAATCATGATTGCAAGTGTTTGCATTTGCATGGCCCCCTATAATGGGGTCACTTACTAAGTATTCTTTGAAATTCGGGCCATATGGCACATCATTTTTTCAGGTAAAAGGAAGGCGCACTTGTACGAAGGACGACGACATCGCAAGCACAGACTGTGGCACGTGCATATTTTGACTCATATTTAAATTCCTAGTCTTAAGTTATAATAAGTTGTTTTGCATTTCATTGTTTTAAATTATTTTGTATTTATTTTTATTTTCTCTAAATTTCAGTATTTCGCATTAAACACGTAAGACCATGACTGTGTTTTTCAGAGAAAAAGTTGTTTTAAGCGTTTTTTGAAGTTTAAGTTATAAATGATGTTCATGAAGAGTTATATTTCGGTATTAGAGATGAGCATGAGACGCTAGTAGCGACTTTGAATATGTTGAAATTTAAGGTTGTTACACTAAAAGTAAGGGGAAAATATAAACTAACTAAATCTTGAGAATAAGATAATATATACTACTAATCAAATCCTAAGATAAAATATTAACGGATTACGAATATCTAAAATATATTCCTTAACTAATTATTATAATATATTCTCGAAATATTATATCTTAATACTCCCCCTCAAGTTAGAGAATGTATGTCAATCACATGAAACTTGTCTTTCAATAAATCAAATTGATGTCTTCTCAAAGCTTTAGTGAAAATATCATCCAATTGCATTTTAGTCGAAACATAACAATGTGTTTCGTATGTTCGTGAAAACTGGATTGACTGTTATGTGTAATGCTACTTGATTATCACAATACAATAATGGTGGCTCAGACAGGAACTTTCAAGTCTTGAAAAATGTATCTTAACCAAGTTAACTCTAAACAAGTATTTGTCATAGCTCGATACCTTGCTTCTGCTAATGATCTGGACACATTGGTTTGTTTTTTTAGACTTCCAAGAAATAATTAAATTTCCAAAGAAATTACAAAACCCAAAAATAGACCGTCTGGAAGTTCAACAACCACCCCAGCCTGAGTAGCAATATGCTTGTAATCTTAAGTTGTTTTCAGATAGTAGAAGTCCTTGACCAGGGGTACCTTTGATGTATCTCAGAACTCGAAGAGCTGCCTCCCAATGTAGTTTTCTTGGTTCATGCATAAATTGACTAAGCATACGAATTGAATACACTATGTCAAGCCTAGTAACGGTTAAATATATTAACTTGTCAATCAATCGTCTGTATTTACTTGGATCATTCAACTTCTCTCCTGCTGTTCAAGTTTCAGATTTTGCTCCATAGGAAATTTTTTTGGACGTGCTCCTGTAAGACTTGTATCTTGAAGAATGTCTAGAGCATACTTCCTTTGAGACATAAAAATTCATTTTCTAGATCGAGAAAATTCAATGCCTAGGAAATATTTCAAATTCACTAAATCTTTGATAAGGAATTTCTCGAGTAAACTAGTCTTGAGATGTTGAATTTCTTTGAGATCACTTCCTGTCAACAAAATATCATCAACATAGATAAGAGTTACAGTGAAAGAAGTACCTTTACACTTAGTAAATAAAGAGTAATATGCTTTTGACTGAGTGTAGCATGCATTTTGTATAGTGGTAGAGAATATGGAGAACCAATTGGGAGAAGCCTCTTTTAAACCATAAAGAGATTTATGGAGCCGATATACTGTATTCTCCCCCTGTCGGCGAATACCTTGTGGTAAAGACATATAGACTTCCTCATCTAGATTACCATGGAGAAAGGCATTTTGAACATCCAACTGATGAGTGAACCATTTTTGAGGAGCGAAAATAGCGAGTAAGCAACAAAGTGTAGTAAGTTTCGCTGTAGGAGAAAATGACTCTTTGTAATTAACACCTTCAACCTGAGTGTATCCCTTTGCTACCAGTCGAGCTTTATAACCTTCAACAAGACCATCAGAGTAGTGTTTAATCTTGTACGCCCAACGACAGCCAATAACTTTATGGTCAGGTGGTAGAGGAACGAGAGACCAAGTATGATTACGTTTTAAAGCTGCAAGTTCATCATTCATAGCCTGCTGCCATAATGAGTCGCCAACTACCTCATCATAAGTTTTAGGTTCTGTTTAGGCTGTAATAAGAGCTAGAAAAGCACGTTGAGTAGGAGAAAAACGAGAGAATGAAAGGAAATGATGAAGGGGATACCTAGGTAGCTTTCTAGTTCGAGCAATGTTCGATGTATAGTACTCTCCTACACATACCCAACCACGAGCACATGGACTCACCAGGGCTCATGTACCCTCTAGGCTTCTCTCATGGACTCACGAGTTTGTGAATTATGCAGATATAGTTCCTATCAAATCTTTCGTATATAACTTAAATGACATGGTCTATGGAGGTTTGGGCATCATAAATTATCATCATGATAACGTATTATTACAACATAGTGTTGATAAGATAAGGAATCAACTACAAGGGGAATAAGATTCGGATTACCTTGTTGATCGAATATCTCAAGTCAAGAACACTTTGTTTGAGATTCGAATCACTCCAGAAGCAAGATCGATCATGTCTAGCTTCAATGATTCTAGTTGATCAAATATCTCAAGACAAGAACACTTGATTGAGATTCGAATCACTCCACAAGCAAGATTGATCATGTCGAGCTTGAATCTACATGCAACCTAAACTACATAGAGTTGCAAAGAAACTTAGCCATTGGCTAAAGAAAAGCACAAATCTACATGCAACCTAAACTACATAGAGTTGCAAAGAAACTTAGCCATTGGCTAAAGAAAAGCACAAATGCTTCTTTTGGTATATCTTCTAAGTCTTCCTTACAAATACAACAAACATGGCTTTATATAGCCTCAAAATGAAAATTACAAAAGTTGTAACATTCACACTTTATGGCCATAATTAGCCATTATGTAAATGTAACCGAAATTAAATAAAAAGTCCTAAAATACAATAACTCTAAATTACTCTAAATTATAACCCACCCAAAATTTACAACAATCAAACTTTATTCTTCTTCAACGTAGCATGAATTGAAACATCTTTTGATAATTTTGACAATCTTTTCTTCAAATCTTCATTGAAGCATATTGTATGATTGATGTCTCTTGGTTCATATCAAGTGTAGTCACACTATAGCATAGCTTATAAACATGGCATAACACAATATTGGATAGCATAGCAATCATAATTATGACACGTGCAAGAGTAACGAGTATGCGTCATAATAGGTAACACAATTCATCCAACCAATCAAATAATAGAGCCACTCACTTGAGTAGGTTAAAAAAGGGTTGTTAGTTTATCATTGGAGCTACTCCAAATTCATCTCTTAAAATCAAGTGTAACTTATGTGAACTTAGGATAAAAGATTAAAACAAGTTAAACAAATTTATCTACATAACGTTCACGAGTAAACCTCTAATGAGCTTACTATACTTTAATCTGACCAAATAGTGGTCATACTCATCTCAAATGTTATAAAAAGTCCGAAAGCTAACTATAGAAGGGTAAACATTTGTAGGAAAGGGTTCAAAGTAGTGAAACAGATTGAAAATTTGTAAACCAAGTCGTTCACGTTGTTTAAGCCGCTATTGTACCGAGCCAAGCCGAGCCATGAAGTCGATGCTCGAAAGGGACACAGGTTGGGCTCGACGCATAGATAAGGACATGTATCACAGGATCAGGATATGCACACATCTTGCAATCTAGGTCGTTCTATTATCGAGTCAAGCGCTTAGGTTATGGGCTACTATGCTAAGCAACGAGTGTGATATGATAAGGAATCAATACAAGGGGAATAAGATTCGGATTACCTTGTTGATCGAATATCTCAAGACAAGAACATTGTTTGAGATTCGAATCACTCCACAAGCAAGATCGATCATGTCTAGCTTGAATGATTCTTGTTGATCAAATATCTCAAGGCAAGAACACTTGCTTGAGATTCGAATCACTCCACAAGCAAGATTGATCATGTCGAGCTTGAATGATTCTACATGCAATCTAAACTACATAGAATTGCAAAGAAACTTAGCCATCGGCTAAAGAAAAGCACAAATGCTTCTTTTAATATATCTTCCAAGTCTTCCTCACAAATACAACAAACATGGCTTTATATAGTCTCAAAATGAAACTATTAAAGGCATTCCAAAAGTTGTAACATTCACACTTTATGGCCATAATTAGCCATTATGTAAATGTAACCGAAATTAAATAAAAAGTCTTAAAATACAATAACTCTAAATTACTCTAAATTATAACCCACCCAAAATTTACAACAATCAAACTTTATTCTTCTTCAATGTAGCATGAATTGAAACATCTTTTGATTATTTTGATAACCTTTTCTCCACATCTTCATTGAAGCATATTGTATGATTGATGTCTCTTGGTTCATATCATTCTCCACTTCTTCAAGAGGATTCGTCCTCGAATCTATTTGTGAAACTTTGCTGCAAAAAATAAGTTATGGAAATACAAAGGACCTCACAACACTCTCTCACGTGTATACACTCAAGGAATTTTAGGCCACTCTGTTTGCACTCATTTACACAAATGAAGCTCTCATTCTCACCTCTCAAAATTTTAAATAGAGCAAAGATTGAATTTTGAACTTTGGGTCGATTAAAAACTAAAAAGATGAAAATAAATAAAAATCAAATTGAGAAGAAACGCAAAGGAAACATATATCCGATCTTGAGCCTGAAGCTCTGATACCAAATGATAAGATAAGGAATCAATACAAGGGGAATAAGATTCGGATTACCTTGTTGATCGAATATCTCAAGCCAAGAACACTTTGTTTGAGATTCGAATCACTCCAGAAGCAAGATCGATCATGTCTAGCTTCAATGATTCTTGTTGATCAAATATCTCAAGACAAGAACACTTGTTTGAGATTCGAATCACTCCACAAGCAAGATTGATCATGTCGAGCTTGAATGATTCTACATGCAATCTAAACTACATAGAATTGCAAAGAAACTTAGCCATCGGCTAAAGAAAAGCACAAATGCTTCTTTTAATATATCTTCCAAGTCTTCCTCACAAATACAACAAACATGGCTTTATATAGCCTCAAAATGAAACTATTAAAGGCATTCCAAAAGTTGTAACATTCACACTTTATGGCCATAATTAGCCATTATGTAAATGTAACCGAAATTAAATAAAAAGTCTTAAAACACAATAACTCTAAATTATAACCCACCCAAAATTTACAACAATCAAACTTTATTCTTCTTCAATGTAGCATGAATTGAAACATCTTTTGATAATTTTGACAACCTTTTCTTCACATCTTCATTGAAGCATATTGTATGATTGATGTCTCTTGGTTCATATCATTCTCCACTTCTTCAAGAGGATTCGTCCTCGAATCTATTTGTGAAACTTTGCTGCAAAAAATAAGTTATGGAAATACAAAGGACCTCACAACACTCTCTCACGTGTATACACTCAAGGAATTTTAGGCCACTCTGTTTGCACTCATTTACACAAATGAAGCTCTCATTCTCACCTCTCAAAATTTTAAATAGAGCAAAGATTGAATTTTGAACTTTGGGTCGATTAAAAACTAAAAAGATGAAAATAAATAAAAATTAAATTGAGAAGAAACGCAAAGGAAACATATATCCGATCTTGAGCCTGAAGCTCTGATACCAAATGATAAGATAAGGAATCAATACAAGGGGAATAAGATTCGGATTACCTTGTTGATCGAATATCTCAAGACAAGAACATTGTTTGAGATTCGAATCACTCCAGAAGCAAGATCGATCATGTCTAGCTTCAATGATTCTTGTTGATCAAATATCTCAAGACAAGAACACTTGTTTGAGATTCGAATCACTCCACAAGCAAGATTGATCATGTCGAGCTTGAATGATTCTACATGCAACCTAAACTACATAGAGTTGCAAAGAAACTTAGCCATTGGCTAAAGAAAAGCACAAATGCTTCTTTTGATATATCTTCTAAGTCTTATTACAAATACAACAAACATGGCTTTATATAGCCTCAAAATGAAACTATTAAAGGCATTCCAAAAGTTGTAACATTCACACTTTATGGCCATAATTAGCCATTATGTAAATGTAACCGAAATTAAATAAAAAGTCTGAAAATACAATAACTCTAAATTACTCTAAATTATAACCCACCCAAAATTTACAACAATCAAACTTTATTCTTCTTCAATGTAGCATGAATTGAAACATCTTTTGATTATTTTGATAACCTTTTCTCCACATCTTCATTGAAGCATATTGTATGATTGATGTCTCTTGGTTCATATCAGAGTGTTTTGGCTGGAGTGCCTACTGTGTCGAAGGATGTGCTCATTGGCTAAATGCATATTGGGTCTACAATGAGTTGCTAGATCGGCACGTAATAAAGATTCCTAGGCTGCCACATACAGTGAGAGTCTGGATAGGCAAGTTTGATATTAAATTTCAAGAACACCCAGATTAAATTTCGGGACACTTTATTTTTCTAATCTTTTAACATGATTAATTTTTTATCCATCATTTTCTAATCTTAAAAATAAATGATTTTAAGTCAAATCTAAAAATTGTTAAAAAATTTACACAATTAATGTGTAACAGGCAAGTCTACCGTGAGCATATATTCCTATTTAACCAAATTATTCTAAGTTAAGATCAAAAGATGGTAAAAAAATATCGTCTTTTAGCTGATATAGTCGTCTTTTGGCTTTTCCAAATTATTACATGTCCAAGCTAAAAATTGTAAATAAATAAATAAAAGAGAAGGTGATTTTGGGTTTACCCTTTTGCCCTTCCCCTCTAGGTTTTAAAACATGTATGTAAGGGAGAGGTTTCCACACACTTGCAAAGAACGTTTCATTCTCTTCTCCAATCGATGTGGGACCTCACAATCCACCCCTCTCGAGGGCTCAGCATCCTCACTGACACACCATTCGATAACTGAGCCTTGGAGGCTCAGGATCCTCGCTGGCACACCGCCCTCTGATATTATTTGTAACAACTCAATTCACTGCTAGCAAATATTGTCCTCTTTGAGCTTTCTTTTC